GAGGAGGCTGCAGCTGCCCGGGTGGGAGACCCGAGGGTGTGACAGTGGCGATAGGGGGGAAAGCGGCGCGCTGAAGAGGTAAAGGGAGCGTTGGGCGAAAAGCAGTCGGCGAAAAAGACGGGGGGGTTCCAACCGGCAGGCCGGCGGCCAGCAGCAGCCCCCCCGGGGATTAGACAGGCGAAGAGCGAGGCGCGGGGGGAAGCAACCGAGGGCGGGGGCGGGCGGGCGGCGCCCCCCCCCGGGGGGGGGGGGGGGGGTCGCTTGTCACCTGGTCAAGCTGGCCCAGCCACTCGTTGTGCCGCTTCCGACAGTGCTTGCGTACGGCATCCGTCGAGGCATAAAACTTGCCGCAACCTGCGGCGTATGGCGGGTCGGGGAGGCGGGTGGGAGGCGGAGCGACGGGGTGGCGGCGGAGGGCGAGGCGGCGCGGGCTGCGCGGCGACGGACAGGCAGGTGGTGGAGGAGACGGGCCCGCGGCGGCGGCGGCGACGAGGGGGGAGTTTGAGAGGGGTCTCAGAGGGCGAGGCGCACCCGGATACCGGCACTGGAAGCGTGCGCCGGGGGCGAAGCCGCCTGCGACGTGGGCGGGAACGCCGTCGGGCCGCCGGTGCGCGTGCGCGGCGCCGAACCAGCGCAGGGCTCGGCTGGATGCGGTTTGAGTGTTTGAGCGTCTGCGCATCGCCGCGGCTGCAGAGGGCAGAGGCGGCCGCACCGTCCCCCAGCTTGCGCCGAACGACGCGCGGCGAGTCAGACTGCGAGCCTGCCGACTCCCACTCCGTCGACGGCGTGCGGCGGCACGGCACCACCCCCTGCGCGGTCGCGTGCTGCTCGGCGAGGCTGCTGAGCACGATCAGCGCGGCGACCGCGGAGCGCTCGTACTCTTCGTCGCAGCTCTCGACGGGCGAGCTCTCGACCGAGTCGACCTCCGGCGGGGGCAGCTTGGCGAGCTCCGCAGCGTCCAGGGCGAGCGACATTCCAGAGGCTGATGATAAAGGCTGTCGGCACGTCTCTGATCCGTCTGCCTCCACTCGGTTCTCACCTTTCACACGCGCTTTCGAGAGATTTTTAGCATTTAGACAAAACAACTCTCTCTCACAGCAGACAGGCTCGACACAGGTGCGAACTGGCGCGTGCTAGTACTATCACCGGCACACCACCGGAGCCGCCTAAGCGACTCCGTTTTTTTTTTTAGCAATACCATTGTTGTCGCTTTCGTCGACACCTCGGTTCTAAAAACGCTATGTGTGGCAGCCGCCCCGTTGGCTGAGTGTCTTGTCTTGTGGTTCTGTGTGTCGCTCCTGTGTGACCGTCATCGCCCGTCTAGCGTCCACCCATACCGCGTTGGTGTCCCAGTCGTTGGTCGGACTGTGTGTCGCCTTCCCATCAATCAATCAAACGCTGTGGGATTCGCCGCAACCGTCGCCGGCGCGCGACACGATCTCGTCGGCCGGACTGTCCTCGTCGAGTGTGTGCCGCCAAGGCGGGACGCACTCAGGGACAGTGGCGACGAGACGCGGCTCGAGGGGCGGCCCCCGCGAAGGCACGGCTGGCAACCGTGGTGCGGGGCTCGTCCTCTAAAAAGTCGGGTATGGCTCCGCCCGCAACTCTCTCGCTGACACGCGCGCCCGTCGACCTTACGACGGGTGCGCTGTGGTCGCACGTCGCACGTCTAACTAACTCCGTCATAGTGCCAGGGCACGGTGTGCGATCTAGAAGCAGCACACGCGCCTCTACATCGCATACACTCATACAATGAACTGACATCTCCCATGAGTGCGAGTTAGGGCTAGCAGTAGGCCGCTAGCCTGTGAGGAGGGCGTCCATAGACACCTGACTAGACCCACACACACACGGTCTCGCCCGTGCCTCGCCGGCCGGCGAGATTGCTAGAGGCGGAGCGGTCTGCTCTAGCCTAGCATGTTACTTCCTGTCTTCTGTTGTTTGTTGTGCCCTTGTTTGTTCTCTTGGCACCTTGGAGTGCTGGGGGGGGCGACAGGGAGGATGTGGCCCTGAGTTATGTGTACGCCAACTCAGGGTGTGTGGCAGCCCACGTATCCACGCAAGCGTGGTCCGCGCGCATGGCATACAGGCGTTCGCCAGACAGCGCAGAGGCTAGGCGACCGGGGAAGGACTAGCTCAAGGGCATCAACACAGCGTCACCAGCCGTTGGCGCGCAGAACAAGTCTGCGGCGCGGCTGCGTAGGCGGCGTTTAGGCGGCTCTCGGCCGAGGAGCGCGACGAGGTGGTCGCGGCGCTCGCGGCGGAGTTCAAGGCGCCAGGGAGCGGGAGAGATTGTGAGCTGCTGGGACGCGGGGCGCGGTTCTGTTTGCGGTGTCCCACATTCCCGGGGTGGGAGGATTCGGTGAGGGAGGGGCGGGTCCTCCTCTTTGAGGGGGACCTGGAGCGAGTTGCGGAGCGGCCCGGCCCGCGGCGCTGGCGGGGGGGGGGGGCAGGAAGTCCCGCGACGGGCGCCGGCGGGGGGCGCGGCGGGAGCGACGGGGGGGGGAGGGGATGGAGTCGGAGGATGATGGGGATGGTCCTCTCGGCGAGCACCACGGTGCTCGCGGATTCGACCATCCGCCTGACTACCATTCCGACGACGCCTTCTGTGAGGAGGACGGCATCTGTGAGGGCGACGGCTTCTAAGCCGTCGCCTTTGCAGTGCCAGTCCGTACCCGGTGTCGTGCGAGGGAGTTGGGTTGTAAAATTCTTTTAAGTGTACCTGTGTAAGTGCCAGTGCGCGCCAGTACCGTGCCCAGTGTTGTGCCCGCAGCTCAAATTCTTTTACGTGATTGCACGCTGTGGAGCACAATCCCTCCATGCTCTTTCGCAGCCGGGCCTCTGCCTCAGACCACGAGAAGGCCGTCATGCGCGGCGTCGTGAAGCTGCAGGCAGCCGTTCGACGGAAGCGAGCGCACAGCTCCTTTTTGAGAATGGACGAGACCGACGCGCTGCCGCTTCGCGACGCGTGGGCAATCTGGCTCTTCCTCGCTCACGTGATTGCGGTCGTGTGGGTTGGTTCGCCCTTCCTCGGCGCCGAAAGCTACCTCGGCGAGGCGGCGTTCGAACACCACCAAGCTCGCGACCTTGCGCTAGCGCTCGCCCTCTCGCTCTGCACTTCATTCGCGTTTGTGCACTGCTTCGTGCTCGTGCTTGAGACGCAGGCGCTCCGCCTGCTGTACGTGACGCTCTTTGCGGTGCCCAGTACGCTCGTGGCTTTCGGAGTCGCTGCTGCCGCCGACGCCGCCGGCCCCAATAAGCTTGGCTATGCGGAGGAGTACGGGTCGAACCTGGGCTTCGGCGTCGCTCTGGTCGGAGGCGCCATATTCCTCAGCGTCTACCTCCTCCGGTGGCGGATCGATACCAGCGCCGCGCTGCTGTCCAAATCTGCGGCGCTGCTGCTCGAGATGCCGGGCCTCATCACGGTGGCCGCGCGTGCACTGTGCTCACCCACGCGCACCGGGCCTTGCGCACTCTGAACGCCGTGTGACCTCTCTTATTCAGGTGGCGTACGGCTCGGCACTCGCTGCGACATGCTGGTTTCTTCTGTGGCTTCCTTTTGCCGTCTACGTAATCCAGCGCGTGGTCGAGCACCTCTGGGACGACTTCTACCAGCAGTGGGGCGAGGGCGCGGAGGCGAGGTACACCTCGGGCGAGGTGACGGCCATCTGCGCTGCCGTCTACTTTCTCCTCCTCCTCTCGCTGTACTGGGGCCAAAACGTGTGCAAGGGCGTCTCCGACGTCACCGCGGCCGGCGCAATCGGCGCGTGGGTCTTTGTGCCAGAGACGGTGGCAGCGCCAGCGCCTTGCGTCGGCCTCCTCCTGAAGCCCGTCGTGTCCAACGCGCTGCTCCGGGCGATGACGACCTGCTTCGGCTCGATCTGCTTCGGAACGCTCGTGGTGGCGGTCGTGCAGGCACTCGTCGCGACGCTCAAGCAGCTCAAGTACAGGCGGATGAGCAACTGCGTCCCGCTGGGGCTGCCGCTCAAGCTCGTCAATTGCTGCGTCGACTGCGTGCTCGACGCGATCAAGCGCGCGGCCGAGGCCTTCAACGAGTGGGCGCTCGTCTACACCGGCCTGTACGGCCGCTCCTTCCTCGCCTCGGGCCGCGCCGTCATCGGGCGCTCGTCGGGGACCCCCGTCGCCGGGAGCGCGTGCAAGACTCGTCCACGGACACGTCCACGACGCGTCCACCAATAGGCTCGTCAAGAAGGCGGGCATGGACGTCGCCGCCAACATCCTACTCGTCTCGCCCGTGGTCTGGCTCGCCACCGCAGGATGCCTCCTCGTCACGCTCGCCATGTGTGCCGCCCTCGCCGCCGCCCTCGGCCACCACGGCCAGACGCAGGCGATCTGGGTGATGTTGCCGCTGCCGCGCCGCTACGCGCTCGCCGCGGCGCTCGCTGTCCCGGTCGTTTCGGTCGGCTTGTCGCCGCTCCTGACCAGCACGCGCACGCTGCTAATCTGCTACGCCGAGGCGGACCACTCACACGCGCTCCGCACGACGCCGCGACTGTACGTCCGCGACGTGTCCCATGCCCCCCCCCCCCCCTCCCTCCCTAGGCGGACCACGTCCTCCGCCGGCGAGACCCGGAGCTCGTCGAGCGGATCGAGGGCGCGCGAGATTTGGGCCGCCGCAAGGGGCGTGAGGCGCGGTCCGCGCGCGAGCCGTCCGCCCCGACCGCCCAGGCGGTCGTTTGCGTCTGAGAGACGGCGCTCTCGCGGAGCTAGATGGCCACGCGAGGTGTTTCTTAGAGCCGTAATCTTCATCTTGTTCTCAGTTCTCTAATCTCTTAATGTGTACGCGCGGCAGGTCGTAGAAGCTTAGAACAGAATGATGATTATAACACGATCGTCGAGGCTTGAGAATCTATGCCTCTGTCGCTGCAGTATATAGTGTGTGCGAGGCAAGTGAAGAGGCTAGTGTCGTCTGTCGCAGTAAACAGAGCTCAGAGGGATACATGCACAGGAGAGGCTCGCATACACGGTTAAAGCCGTAGTGTGCGGTTCATACACGCACGACTTACGAGTACCACCGAGGTCAGGAGCGCCCGCCCCGCCGGCGTCGCGGCTCCAAACTGCCCCGGGAAGCCGCTCGCTCCGTCTATGTGCGGAGACTATACCTTCTTTGGGAGGCGCCAGAGCGTGTTGACGAACCAGCACCCAAAGTCCTCCGAGTTCATCTGGCCGACGGTGACGAGGAACCGGTTGAATAGCCCGCCGACGTTGCCGGTGACGACATACCTGCGGCCGCGGGCTATAGAGTCGTAGCTAGGGAGAGCGGGCAGCCAACGCGAGGATGGGAACGAGTATGGCATGCCAAGCAGAGGGGTGCAAGGAGGGGGCAGGGGGGGGGGGGGGGGGCGCACGGCTTGCGTGCAAACATGCCCTCGACGCACTGGGCGGCGCACGGCGCGGCCTGCTGCAGCAAGCAGGGGATCTTGGCGCCGAGCGGCTCCTCGTCTGGCTTCCAAAAGCTCGTCTGCCTGTTCACAGCGCGTCGGCAGTGTGAAGAGGTGTGCCGTTTAGAGAGTCGTCTCTGGATGGCATCTGTGCGTGAATCCGGGGCACGCGGCGGTGACGGAGATGCCGGTGGAACGAAGCTCGTAGTGCATCGCGCGTGAGATGCTGAGCAGAAAGGCCTGAGGGAGACGAGCCGACCCTCTCGAGTCACGGGGTCTGCGCGAAAGAGGAGTAGAACTGGCAACAGTAGGCCTTGGTCGCTCCGTAGGTGGCCTCGGCCGGGCCTGGGTCGAAGCTTTGGATCGAGCCTACGGGTGACATCGCGCCCCACCTCTCACCTCGAGACACGCCGCCGCCCCGCCCGACATCCTCGCGACTGGCGCGGGCCGAGGTTGAGGACCATGCCGCGCTTCCGCGCCATCATCCCCTCGAGGAAGTAGCTCATCAGGCCGACCTGCCAAGAGAGATTTCGAGGTACATCACGGCCAGGCGTGTTGCTACCGAGGTCGAGCTCGCTCCTCGCGGTGGCTACACACGACTCGGCGCTACCTCGGCGCTACGCATACAGCCGCGCGCCGGGGTGTTGTTGTTGAGCTGCACCATCATCTGCAGCTTCTTCGTCGGCACGTTCACAAAGGCGCCGTAGTAGCCAACGCCGGCGTCGTTGACCAGGATCGAGACGTCCTGGCACCAATCCGGCAGCAACGGGAAGATCTCCTCGTAGACGTGTGTTGCCGCGTCGGGCGCGGCCAGGTCGGCCGCAAAGTACTTCACCTGGCAAGACACAGTTCAGTGTCACCGAGATGCGCCGCCAAGCAACACACAGTATGCATGCGTCCTGTCGAATTACCTTGATCTGTGGGTACTTGGCCGCGATCTCGCGTTGCACCTCCTCCCCGTGCTCCTCGTTGTGCGAGGTGATGACGAGGTCGAAGCCGCGATTCGCGAGGTTGAGCGCGATCTCCTTGCCGATGCCACTGTCCGCGCCGGTGATGAAGGCGCAGCCGTCGCCCGGAAGCACCTCACTGTGCGCTGTGGCGTTTAGGCACGGTGTGCGCGCTATGGCCTCGAATGCGTAGAGGAAGATCGGGAAGATGAACTTGTCGAGGAGATAGTAGACGAGGTAGATGGGTGCGGAGAGCAGCAGCGCGATTACGTACAGCGCGCTCACCGCTGGGCCCGCCTGCGAGGCGGCAGCAAAGTGAGGTGAGGGCAAAGGGGAGCAGCGGTGCGGGATGGGCGGGCTAAGGCGGGCCTGCACAACCAGATCGGGCCACGGGACGGTGCCCGATGACACTGCGACCTGGATGGGCGCCGGCGCGGCCTTGTGGAGGCGAAGCTGGTTCAGATATTGCTTTGACGGGGGCGGCTTGGACGGGACAGCCAGCATCCTGATGTTGCAAGCGATTGCGTACAGCGCGTCACCGCCTGACCACCTGCGAGGCGGCAGCAGTGATGAGGGCAGCGGGACAGGCTGGGCCAAAGATTGCATCATGCCTGCTGCAAATCCGCGAGCGAGTGCAGTCGGGTGGTGCGGCGAGCGGTTTGCAGGCGGGCGGGAATGTTGCGGGGTGCGCGCCCGTGGGCCCAGTGGCGATGCACCACTCGCGAGTGCAGCGGGTGGGCGGGAGAGGGCTGTGAGCAGAGCAGAGAAAGCGAGCGGCGGCATATAACGCGCCTGATCGGCTTTTCCCAAAAGGAGCCGTACACGACGCCTTGATTGAATCTGCATAAAAAAGATTTTAAAGAAGACAACTCTCTCTCACAGCACACAGGCTCGACACAGGTGCGAACTGGCGCGTGCTAGTACTATCACCGGCACACCACCGGAGTTATAAAAAAACCCTCACCGCGCGGAGGGGTTGTGTACGCCGACTCAGGGTGTGTGGCAGCCAGATGGCTGTGTGTCTTGTGAGCCTGTTTGTGTCTGTGTGTCGCTCGTGCGTGTCGTCATCATCTGTCCAGCGTCCACCCATACCGCGTTGGTGTCCAGTCCGAGCCTGGCTGTTCTTCACCTTTCTACCTACCTACCTAGGGGTTGTTGGCGAGCCAAAATGGTGTTTTCCGAGGCGCTGCGCTAGGCTCAGAGCGAGTTCGCGCTGCGCTAGGCTCAGACGGCGAGTTCGCGCTGCGCTAGGCTCACACAGATAGATGGCGAGTGCGCCGCGATAGATTTGCGTCGCAGTCAAACACCTCGCCTCACTTCGCCTCTCGAGGATATACCGGCCGATGCGCACGCTCGATGCATCCCGCCCGGCAAGCAATGAAGACACTACCACGCGCTTCTATGACCTACTCAAGCATACGGCCCGGGAGGGAGGGGAGATCGACGAGGACGAAAATAGAGAGTGGACCATCGAGCGTATTATTGCGCGACGACCAAGTCAGCAAATACTAGGGAACTTTGAATACAAGGTGCGCTTTGAGAACGCTGGCCCGGGGGATGACCGGTGGCTCACAGAGGGAGAGGTTACAGGCCCACTTCTCGATCGTTTCAACGCCGCAGTCGACTCGATGGAAATTGACGGCCCCCGTAGCAACAACGACGGCGATGGACAAGAAGACGACGAGAGTGACAACGAGGAGAAGGGGACCGAGAGCGAACACGAGGGGAGCGAGGGGCGGATAGCACGATCGATCTTCGGATCAATCCACGACTGCGACCTACCAAGGCCAACGTCGGACACCGCGTACTCCATCCTTGCGGACGCTCTGCCGCTCGGACCGCACAGGTGCCGCAAGCAGCGCCGGCGAGGCATCTGCGACCTATGCTACCTGCTCCGGGGAGAGACTGTAATCGAGACCACTCGGCACCTAGCCCTCGAATGCCCTTACACAGGCTTGGTCCATGAGGCCGCCCTCCGCACGGTTCTGGAAGTCACAACGCTAGACGAGGCGGTGCGTGAAGAGACACGGCGTTCGCAATGGCAACAACTCGCACACGAACACCGCCGACTCTGCATAACCGGGTTTCGGCTTACTACGAGCAGAGGACAGATGGCAGAGGGGCGCATTGGGGCAACGCCGACACGCGTGATGATGCTGGAGACGCTGGCGGGCATCGTGCGGCGGCGGCACTACAACGCGAACCTTGCACACGACGCGACGCCGGACGCCCGAGTCGACTCCATCTTCAAGGACGCTAGGGCGGCACTTGTCCGCCAATTTTACTACACGGCGAAGAGAGCACAGCAAACCGAGAGGGAAATACGCCTTCGCATACCCGGATGGCAGCCCTCGCCCGGGGAAGGACCAGTAGCAGAGTGGGAAAGGGATTGGCTCGCGTCCGGCTTCTTTTCTGACGACGGCCAATGCGCGCTTCCGGAGAGGATTCAGCTTGCCCGCGACATTGCTGCAAATGATTGCACAAGCAACACGATGGCACTACTCAGCGTCGAGCCTTGTGATAGGGGCGGTGCTTGCCGTGTTAAAGTGCGGCTGATGGTGGAGAGGCGTCAGGAGTTATACTTCGACCCTGTCGACGGGACGGCACCACGCCCCCACAGCAGCAGCAACCACCCGACTGGACGGCGTACACTGATGGGTCGGAAGACGGAGGCAGGGCAGGATGGGCGTACGCCGTAGTCATGGGCGGGGACGGCATATGCGACGTGAATGCCATGCTTGTGACCGAAGGCTACGGCCCCGTCGTGACTAGCCCCGTACACGCCGCTTTCGTGGGGGCGCGGAAACACACCAATAACACGGCGGAGCTGTCAGCGCTTGCGGAGCTTTTTCGCTCACTACTCCACACGGCACCACGACCAGCAGGCTCACGAGGGGTGGTCCGAACGGACAGCGAGTACGCGATGGCGTGTGCGACGGGGAGGATCTCGCCGGGGGAGAACGCACAACTAGCGAGCTATCTTAGAGCAGCGTGGCGGCATTTAGCGTCGAGGCACGAAGTGACATGGAGACACGTCAAGGGGCACAGTGGTCATAAGTGGAACGACTACGTCGATAAGCAAGCTGACCTCGGCAGGAGCGGCGCGAGGGATTGCGACGCACCGGAGTGGCAAGACGAGTCTGTCCCAACAGACGCAGACGACGGGGAGAGCAGCACCGTGGGCGACGACATGCCTATCAACGGAGGAGCAACAACCATCCCACTCGACGACATCGGTGATGGGGCCTCTAGCTACGCCGATGACCCACCCGACTCCCCCGAAAACAAACCGCCGCCTAGCGCCCCGCCCGCGCCGCCAAAAGCCCCAGTCGTGGAGCAGGGGGTGATATGGATTTCATACACGCCGAGCGCGCAGGCGCGACACATCGGAGACAACAAGGGGATCCGACGTGAAAGAGCTATCGACATTGACGTTGACCCAGCCGATTCCACCGATGTCGACGTCATCACCTCCGCGGCTACCGCGCTTTCGCTCGACGACACCGTGGAGAATCGCACCGAGGACCTTGCCGAGGCGATAGGCCGAATCACTTTGGGCCCCGACCCCGCCCCCACCCCTCGGGGTGGGGGCACCCGCCCCTGTCGGGCACCGCTTGCGGCGCCTGGCAGGGGCACCCCATGGGTGGGGGCCGGCGATTCCCATGCCGGCTCTCCGCCACAACCCCCGCCGGGAGGGAATCCCTGCTCACAGAAAAGGGCTCCGAGCCCTGTCTCGCGCACGCCCCTGGCGGGCGCCGCGGACCAGTTCCGCGAGCGCTCGTCAGCGGGTGGTGTGCGGTTCTTGCCGTAGTTCCTCTTCGGTCGCCTAGCCCCGGCGCCGTCTGTCGGACGCCTGCGTGTCACGAGTGCGAGCCGCTCGCGGTTCGTACACCCGCTTGCGGGTTCGAGTGGCGGGCCATCCCGCTTGCGGGATGGCTTAGCGGGTTCGAGCCGTCACACATTGGCCCCGCGCTCTGGGTGGTAGTGGCGGCGCTCCAAGAGTGGTGCTCTTGGGAAGAGGTTCCTCCTTTCCGCTCCCCCCCCGCAAGGCGCGAGACACACACCTTAAGGCGTACAACGGGGCCGGAGGGGGGGGGGGGGGGTCCATTGAGAACTGTCCAAGTAAAGATAGGCTATAGGGGGGTGGTGGGTACTCTGGGAAAGGGGGAGGGTTGACGTCCTGAGAAGATGTGCTTCGAGGACCGAGAAAGCAGAGTAGAGAAGGAAGAGTGCGGGCGCCACGCCCGCGGCACCAAGCCAGCCACTGGAGGCACACGCACGCTCTCTCGAGGTCTCTTGGAGCAGAGCCCCGGCGAGTCCTCGAAAGAGCCCACTGGGTCCCTCGAGAGGGGTACCCTGGGTGGGCGGGGCCTCTACTCGCCAGGTCTTTCGACAGGGGGTAGGGTGCCATCCGTTGACGTCCGTCCATTCGATCGAGGCGGTTCACACCAATGTGGTGCTAGCCGCGTCTCGTGAACAGGCTTGGCACCGTGCGCAGCCTCGTTGTCGGAGCCCTACCGCCTACGCGGAGGCGTCGGACGACCTGCACCAGCTGTTCGACCGTGGTGGAGTCGGCATCCAAGCAGCACTGGAGCGGATCGGCGCGCGTAGGCCGTAGCGCGAAGGAGGCGCAGTCCTACTTCGCTACGACGCTCCTCTTCTGTCTGCTCGTACCTTGCGCCAGGCAGCCTTTTGCGTTTTGGGCCTCGCTGGCCGTGGAAAATGATGGTTGGTGCCCAGCCGAGACCGTTGAGGCCCCAACCCGCAACCGACACACCACACACTGGCTCGATCGCGAGCACACCGGGCCGCCGGGTTTGTGCACAGTTTGGCACACTTCGCCCGACATTCTAAAAAACACCTGAATATTATAAAACCAGAAGATAAGCTGTTTTTCAGAGTGTACATGTATACGTACGGCTTTACGATTACCCTAATGATTACGTCGGGAGCGGGGGCCGTGTCTGAACGCACTCGCGGGAGCCGGAGAGCAAAGGTGTGCGCGAATTGAGGCTTCTGAGCGAGTCCAGCAAGCCACAGGACCGGCCATGTGCGTGGGTAGTCGAGCGGTGGCCGGAGGAAGCCTTCAGTAGTGGCTCTCAGTTCGACACCTCGGTCTCGACCACGACCCCACTGGTCGGCCCACAGCTTATCCAAGTGTGAACAGCGGATTTTGACAGCGTTCTCCTGACGAGCTCACAGCTGTAAAAGAGGCTCACTGCCTCATCCATCGAGCCCGGTGCTCTCGCCGACAACAACCCCTTGTGCCGGTCCACGCCATCGAAATAGCATGCTGATCCTACCGCCCAAGCCTGCTATGATCACGCATCCGCACGCCACCCGCTGCTTCCTGCTCGCCGTCGGCACGGTCGCGGCGCTCGGCCTCCTCCTCGTGGCTCAGCCTCCGTTGCAGCCGGCACTGTCGCTTGTGCACGGCGAGAGCGCCGCACGCACCGAGGGCGCCACGCACCCCGAGACCGCCGAGAGCGCTGACGGCTGCATCGGCAACGCCAGCGGCTACGCGTGCGAGCCCACCTTCTTCATCTACGGCGCGAGCAAGTGCGCGACCTCGTCGATCGCGCAGTACCTCGTGACGCCCGCCGACACCGCCGCGCCGACGCAGCCGGCCGCCGCCCTCCCCTTATCCACCGATCTCGGCGTGAACCTGAGGAAGCTGGAGCTGTGGCGCAAGCGCGGCGGCGGCGACCTGGAGCCGGTCCTCGCGAGCGGCGCCGTCGCCCTCCTCGACGCGCAGTGGATCATCAGCCACGCCGAGGCGGGCGGCGTCCTCGCCCACCGCCAGGCTCTGCCCAAAGAGGCCTTCCTCCCCCTCGCCGACCTCGTCGAGGCGACCAACTTCCGCAACGAGTATGACCTTCCCGTCGCCGCGCTCTCCCTCCCGTGGCTGATTAGCTCCGAGAGGTTTGGTCGGTGTGGAGCGGAGCCCGTATTGTACGAGTAGGCCTGTCGATCGCGACGGCCTTGGTTCCCACCTCCCGGCCACCTGCAGCCCGCTCGCAGGTAGCCATCCGATAAGCCATTCACAGCGACAGCTGTGACGGCGCCTCACGTGCTCGGCTTTCACAAAGTCGATCGCCGATCTCCTTGTTCGCGAGCGATGCACACTGCCCCGCTGCGTTTGCTCGCTCGCTCACACTGCACGATTCGCCCCTCCCGCCACACCCTGCGAACCGTAGGTGGTTGGGCAGGCCCCTTCGGGCCCAGCATGCATAGCCGGCGCGCTGCCTGCAGCCGGCCCACGCCGCGAAGAGCCCGCTCGCCCGCGCCCCAGCCCCGCCAGCCCGCGCGACTTCGTTGCCCCAGCGATCTGCCGAATTGCGAGCACGATGCGATCTCACCATGTGACTGAGACATGGTTAGAGGCGCTAGCCTCCGCTGCGGATGGCGTGTGCGACACGACTGCGCCCGTGGAGTGACACCATGTGAGTGATACATGGGCCAGCGGCGTCAGCCACCGCTGCCGAGCGGCAAGTCCAATACACGGCTGTGTGCCCGTTGCGGGTGTGAAAGCGTGTGACACCGTGTGTATGATACACGGTCTAACTGCGTTAGCCACCGCTGCCGAGCGGCAAGTGCGACACACCCGACCCGTTGCGGGCGGCGGCTGAGAGCCATTGCGCACACAGCTCGACTTGTGCCGCTGCCCTGGCACTTTAGCGAGATGATAATCTCTCGCTCAAGAGATGAGACAATCTCCCTGCCGAGCTCGTTCACACCGCGTGTTCACAGCTCGACTTGTGCCGCTGCATGGCACTACAGCGAGATGCTAATCTCTCGCTCAAGAGATGAGACAGTCTCCCTGCCGAGCTCGTTCACACCGCGTGTTCACAGCTCGACGTGTGCCGCTGCATGGCACTATAGCGAGATGCTAATCTCTCGCTCAAGGGATGAGACAATCTCCCTGCCGAGCTCGTTCACACCGCGTGTTCACAGCTCGACTTGTGCCGCTGCATGGCACTATAGCGAGATGCTAATCTCTCGCTCAAGAGATGAGACAATCTCCCTGCCAAGCTCGTTCACACCGCGTGTTCACAGCTCGCCTTGTGCCGCTGCATGGCACTATAGCGAGATGCTAATCTCTCGCTCAAGAGATGAGACAATCTCCCTGCCGAGCTCGTTCACACCGCGTGTTCACAGCTCGACTTGTGCCGCTGCATGGCACTATCGCGAGATGCTAAATCTCTCGCTCAAGAGATGAGACAATCTCCCTGCCGAGCTCGTTCACACCGCGTGTTCACAGCTCGACTTGTGTCGCTGCATGGCACTGTAGCGGGATGCTAATCTCTCGCTCAAGAGATGAGACAATCTCCCTGCCGAGCTCGTTCACACCGCATGTTCACAGCTCGACTTGTGCCGCTGCATGGCACTATAGCGAGATGCTAATCTCTCGCGCGCGAGATGAGACAATCTCCCTGCCGAGCTCGTTCACACCGCGTGTTCACAGCTCGACTTGTGCCGCTGCATGGCACTATAGCGAGATGCTAATCTCTCGCGCGCGAGATGAGACAATCTCCCTGCCGAGCTCGTTCACACCGCGTGTTCACAGCTCGACTTGTGTCGCTGCATGGCACTATAAGCGAGATGCTAATCTCTCGCTCAAGAGATGAGACAATCTCCCTGCCGAGCTCGTTCACACCGCGTGTTCACAGCTCGACCTTTGCCGCTGCATGGCACTATAGCGAGATGCCAATCTCTCGCTCAAGAAATTAAGCAATCACTCTGCCGAGCTCGTTCACACCGCGTGTTCACAGCTCGACTTGTGCCGCTGCATGGCACTATAGCGAGATGCTAATCTCTCGCTCAAGAAATTAAGCAATCACTCTGCCGAGCTCGTTCACACCGCGTGTTCACAGCTCGACTTGTGCCGCTGCATGGCACTATAGCGAGATGCTAATCTCTCGCTCAAGAGATGAGACAATCTCCCTGCCGAGCTCGTTCACACCGCGTGTTCACAGCTCGACTTGTGCCGCTGCATGGCACTATCGCGAGATGCTAATCTCTCGCTCAAGAGATGAGACAATCTCCCTGCCGAGCTCGTGCACATCGCGTGTTCACAGCTCGACTTGTGCCGCTGCATGGCACTGTAGCGAGATGCTAATCTCTCGCTCAAGAGATGAGACAATCTCCCTGCCGAGCTCGTTCACACCGCGTGTTCACAGCTCGACTTGTGCCGCTGCATGGCACTATAGCGAGATGCTAATCTCTCGCTCAAGAGATGAGACAATCTCCCTGCCGAGCTCGTTCACACCGCGTGTTCACAGCTCGACTTGTGCCGCTGCATGGCACTATAGCGAGATGCTAATCTCTCGCTCAAGAGATGAGACAATCTCCCTGCCGAGCTCGTTCACACCGCGTGTTCACAGCTCGACTTGTGTCGCTGCATGCCACTATAGCGAGATGCTAATCTCTCGCTCAAGAGATGAGACAATCTCCCTGCCGAGCTCGTTCGCACCGCGTGTTCACAGCTCGACTTGTGCCGCTGCATGGCACTATAGCGAGATGCTAATCTCTCGCTCGAGAGATGAGACAATCTCCCTGCCGAGCTCGTTCACACCGCGTGTTCACAGCTCGACCTTTGCCGCTGCATGGCACTATAGCGAGATCTCGCTCAAGAAATTAAGCAATCACTCTGCCGAGCTCGTTCACACCGCGTGTTCACAGCTCGACTTGTGCCGCTGCATGGCACTATAGCGAGATGCTAATCTCTCGCTCAAGAGATGAGACAATCTCCCTGCCGAGCTCGTTCACACCGCGTGTTCACAGCTCGACTTGTGCCGCTGCATGGCACTGTAGCGAGATGCTAATCTCTCGCTCATGAGATGAGACAATCTCCCTGCCGAGCTCGTGCACACCGCGTGTTCACAGCTCTCGGTTTTTGCCGCCGCATGGCACTATAGCGCCTGCCGAGCTAGTTCACAACGCGTGTTCACAGCTCGACTTGTGCCGCCGCATGGCACTGTAGCGAGATGACAATCTCTCGCTCAAGAGATGAGACAATCTCTCTGCTGAGCTAGCTCACACCGCGTGTTCACAGCTCGACTTGTGCCGCAGCAGGGCACCATAGCGAGATTGTTGACTATCGCGAGATCACAATCTCGCTCAAGAGATGAGACAATCTCTCTGCCGAGCTCGCCATGTGATCGATGCATGGCAAGACCCATCGCGAGCGCTAGCGCGAGATCACAATCTCGTTCACTATCGCGAGATCACAATCTCGCTCAAGAGATGAGACAATCTCGCTGCCGAGCTCATTCACACCGCGTGTTCACAGCTCGACTTGTGCCGCTGCATGGCACTATGGCGAGATCGCAATATCGCTCTGCCGAGCTCGCTCAACCGCGCGCGTTCACAGCTGCCTCAGCGAGATGCGCTCAGCGAACCTGCACGCCGCCCGTAGCTCACACGAAACGCTAGTAGGCGGGTGGCGTCGTGGAGCACGTGGAGGGCTTGGCTGCCCCTCCCGTGAGTCACGGCGTCGGGTGGTCTCGCAGGGACCACCACCCCGCCACCCCGGGGCGGCGTGCGAGCGGTACTCCAGCAGGTCAAGCGTGAGGCGACCCGCCAATACGCTTGGCCAGCTCGGAGCGACGACGACCGCTCGCACGCTGCGACACCTCCCGGGGACAAGGCATAGGAGCGCTTCTACGAAGCAATCTGTCGCCTCCAGGCCACTCTGCGGTAGCACACACACGTGCGTGAACACGATGCGCACCCGAATGCACCACTCCTATCCTTCGGGGGCGGAAAGTGGTGCGGTGTGCGTGAACACGATGCGCACGTTAGCACAGCAACCGTAGCTAACAGACAGCGGCACAACTGCGTAGCGACTAGACAGCAGCTTCAATAGCAACAGCAGTACTAGCGAGAGCAACAGCAGCAGCAGCAGCAGCAGACGAGAGCTACCCTTCGCTTGCATTCGAGTACACTAGTGACTCGCACTAGTTCGCTCCCTAGGACGAGCGACTCGCGCACGCCAGGGAGAACAATACCAAGGACCACCCCGACCCGCGCGGAGCCAACCTCGCCCGCGTCGCAAGGGCGCTCAAGGCCCTGCTCACTGACAATTACGGCACTATCACGCGGCTCGGCGTCTTTTGGGACTTCGGCTCGCTGCACCAGCACCCCGACCCCCCCAACGGCGTCATGCGCACCGAGGAGCAGAACGCGCTCTTCAAGCAGGGACTGGGCAGCCTCGGCACGCTCTACTCCCACCAGCACACTTGGGTGCTGCGGCTGACCTCCTTCCCGGACGGCCACAAGGCGGAGGATCAGGCCGAGGGCACCAACGTGGCCAAGTACTTTGACCGCGGCTGGTGCTTCATGGAGGCCAGCTGGGCGGGCCTAACTAAGGCCGGCGCTCTCTCGCTCGACCTCGGCAAGATGCGCGACGGCGTGGAGTACGACTGCATCAGCATCGTCCGCGACTGCACCCAGGACGGCGGACGGCGCCCTCCGCTGCTGCCGTCTGCGTTCGCGGCGGAGCTGGAGAAGAAGAGCTTCACCAACGGCAAGGACGACAAGCCGCTGGTGGAGCGGCTGTACGAGGCCGCCTTCAAGGAGCAGTTTGGCAAGGCGACCGAGCTGCTCTACGACCGCCTCGGCTGGGGCGACGCGGAGGCGGCGAAGCTGGCGGAGGTCCTCGCGAGCGGGGCAGCGCCGCGGCTCGAGGAGCTCTATCTCTTCGACAACAATATTGGCGACGAGGGCTGCAAGGCGCTGGCCGCCGCCCTCGGCAAGGAGGGGGCAGCGCCGCGGCTCGAGAAGCTCTGGCTCTTCGACAACAAGATTGGCGACGAGGGCTGGAAGGCGCTGGCCGTCGCCCTCGGCAAGGAGGGGGCAGCGCCGCGGCTCGAGAACCTCGCTCTCAACGGCAACAAGATCGGCGACGAGGGCTGCAAGGCGCTGGCCGCCGCCCTCAAGGAGGGGGCCGCCCCGAGCCTGAAGGCGCGAGACGCCCCCCCTCGCCACACGCCCCTCCCCCGCCCAATGCTCATCGCACCTCCCCTCGCGTGCAGGACCTCTACGTGGACTACAAGAACAAGAGGCCTGAGCTGGTGGCCGTGTGTGAGGAGCGCGGTATCATCCTCTGGTGCGTTGATGGCCCAAGGAAAGGCCCAAGCTGCGGCCCAAGGTGAGAGTGCGGCAGCCAAAGGAGCGGCTCTGCGAGGCGAAACAAACGGGGCAGACATGTCTCGTTGCGGGGCTGAGAACAGAGGCGGAGCTGCGGCACACAGAGGTGAAGCCGCGGCAGCCGGGAAGGCGCGGCTGCGTGACGCACCTTGGATCTTGAGGACGGTGCGTTGTTGGTACCGAGCAGCAGTGCGAGGGAAGCATCTAGCATGCCGTCGCCTCGCCCGCTGACGACCGGGTTTGCCTCGGACTGTGCTTGTTTCTGACCGTTTAGGGTCTTTGTGTGGGTCTTCGTGCTCCGGGTTGCATGGTGTGCACGGTCCGTGCGGAGAGCCTGTCCGCTGTCGTCATTGTTGTTCCGTGTCTTAGTGTAGCAGAAGTTCGGTCGCACTTTCACGCCGAGGGGCTAGCGAGCCCCATCCCGCTCGTGGCGGGCCGCGCAGGCCCGGCAGCAGGGCACCCCCGCGCGGATGCCGACGAGGATCACGGTGCGCTACCCGAACGAAGGTGGACTGCTGACAGGGTTTGCGGTGTCAGTTAGTGTATGTAAAAAATTCTTAGAAATTTGCCCCCCCCCCCCCCCCCCTCCCGAGAACGGGGCTAGAAGCACACACCCCGAGTGCGGGACATGGGGCAGCAACCGACAACGTGGACGGGGATGGGGTGCTGCTCAACCGGCGGCAACCAGCAGCTTTCACAGCCGAGTGCGGAACAAGGGTCGCAACCTGGTTTGTTCCTTCTCTTTTACAACACTGGGCACGGGACTGGCGCGCACTGGCACTAACACAGGTGCGAGGGAGTTTTGTTGTAAGATTCTCTTTTATGGTCTTTTCGGCGAGCACTACGGTGCTCGCGGATTCGACTGTCCCCCCGATCGTGCCCACCTCCATGAGGACGACGGCGCCTTCTAAAGGTCCGTCGCAGGCTGTGCCTCTTTTGGTACCTGTGTCGAACCTGTGTGCTGTGCGAGAGAGTTCTTTTTGTTGAATTCTCTTTTATACCTGGTACAAAAGACGGCTCGCTGTCAGGCCGCGTGCACGGCGCTCTCGGCACATATGAGCCGCTTATCCACCCTTCCGACAGCGCTCCACGCGGATGGCTACGCCCGATTCCTTTCCGCTCGGGATCTTCTGTTTATCGTGTGTACATGCCGTGAGGCGCGGCAGTGGCTGCCAGACGAACACACCGTGTGGTGGAATGCACTGCTGCAGCTTTGCCCAGCACTTCAGCTCGCTGGCGGGCTGCTGCCGGCATCAGCACGCGAGTTCCCACCGGACGCCGGCCCCCCCAAGCGTGCCTTCATGCGCCTCTACCCGTTGGTACTCTACCGGCAGCAGGGTGTGGAAGAGGAGGGGTGCATCCAGCACGTATCCCAAGCAGTGCCAGAGGACGTGATTGGCTTCGTCTTCGTGCCCGCCGGTGAGAACACGATCACCGTGGTGGAGCCGTCGTTTCGCTTCTACGATGGCCATCCCCATGGCGACGGGCAGGAGGGCACGCTCCTGTTTGACGGCGCGGCCTGGTGCGTGCCAACGGTGGCGTCGGGGCTGTGGATGATCACAGTGCGCGAGACGTCGGAGCGGATCCATCACGAAACAGAGCCGGATTTTCGGCAATGCCTGCACCTGTGCGCCTTCCACGAGATGGCGCTGAGCGCTCGGCTTGGCACGTGGCACGGCAAAACTAAGCAAGTCCTCAAGAAGCTGCCGCCGAACGCCGCAGACGGTGTGCCGCCTCACTTCGCGCGGGTGCACGTCGGCAAGCCCGACGTGGGCTTTCGCAGTGGCCCACTGTCGTCTGTCATGACCATGGCGAAGCGGCCGCCGGCCCTCTACGCGCGCAAGCTCTTCTTCCGCCCGACCTCTCTGGCCACCGCAGAGCAGTGGCATCTGTGGTTTGACCAGGCGAAGGCCAGCAGGCGAGTGCATGTCTTCCACCTGCAGCTTGGCGGGGCGAGCAACGACGATCTTCTTCAACGTCAGGGCCACTGAATGATGGGCCGCAGTGCTTGTATGCGAAAGCTGCTGTCACGGTCGGGGCGCGCGCGGGTGCGGCGGGTGGGGCGGGGTGTCTGTGGGCCGAGTGATATGCCATGCGTGTGTCCGCCTTGCGTACGAGGGCCAAACGGGTCATCCAATTGATGGCCACCGTCTGCTCGACTACGCGCGCACCCTTCCCGATCCGCACCGCACGCAAACGGCACTCAAGGACGCCCTGCTCACCAAATACTTCCATCATGGGCGTAGCATGACTGACCACGACGCGCTGCTCTCAGCGGCAGAGGTGGCCGGGTTGGACCTGGCCAGGGCTAAGGCTGTGCTAGCCAGCGACGCGCACAAGGATGAGGTTCTAGACCGTCATGCTCAGGCCAAGGCCTCGGGGATCTCCGCTGTGCCCGTGTACCGAATCAACGGCGAGATCATTCCGGCGGCAGCGATGCCGAATTCTTGAAGGCTTGCGCACAGTAACTTCACAAGGCAGACAGGCAAGGTGGTGAGGCGACTCAGGCCAGCTGCATGCACGCCTCATGATGGAGGCGACTGGAAACTCGGTGTATCAAAAGATGACTGCCAGCCATCGTCAGAGAACGTCGAGCGTGTGGCCCTGTGAGCTTCGGAGATCGGACACACCCGTGGCCGAGGAGGGATGCAAGGGTGGAGCTCACGCCACGCGCGTCCGGGGCACCGGGGCCCGCTTAAAAAAAAAATCCGCGGCGACTGTGCGCGCGAGCGCACATATAATTTAGGAAAAGAGATGCGCCAGTGAGTATGTACCTCGAGGAGTCATGCGCCATGCTCATGCCGTGCTCCCTTCCTTTGGCGACGCTGCTTTGGCGAGAGGCGGCGAGCAAGCTGCGAACACGGTGGGAGGGGGCGGAGAGAGAGTGGCGGCGGCTGACAGCGCCCGCTCCAGCCCACTCCTCATGTTCCGCTCTCCCGCCCTCGCCCGCCGCCCGCCGCTCGTCGTCCCCTCGCCCAGATCACTGCCCGTCGTCGCACCCGGTGAGCGCCTGCCACAAGATTCCTCGAGCATCATCACGACATAGTGAGTGGCACTGCTTAGCAGACCAGCCCGTGCGGCGCCTCGAGCAATCTCGGGTGATCTCGTGCAATCTCGTGCAATCTCGTGCAATCTCGCGCAATCTCGTGCAATCTCGTGCAGTCTCGTGCGGCGCCTGCTCCAGGTCCTCTAGCAGGTCGTCGATGTCCTCCAGGCCGACCGAGAGGCGAACGAGGCCGTCGCGCAGCCCGCCTGCAGGAGAAGGTTCCGAGACGGTTCCGAGACGGTTCCGAGAAAGTTCCTGTAGAGGGCGTGCGTGGCCCGCCTGTCCACAGACACCGGCCCTGCTCAGTGTCTGTCAGTCGGTGTGACACACACGGACCTAGCACGGACGTCGGGGCACACGCACTCGCGGAGCACACGCGGAGCATTGCGCGCGATCTCGGGCAGTCGCATGCATGCAGAGTCAAGGCGCAATGTGATGAGGAGAAACTCCTGCCGACTCCGCTGAGAGCTACTCTCTGTGAGAGAGCGCTCGCTAGCTAGCGCTCACTCCACCTCGGCTGCACCTCGGCTGCACCTCGGCCTCTTCTAGTTGGCTCTCGGGCCTCAATCTCGGCGCATCTCGGCTGCAGCCCCCGCCGGCGAGGCGGTCGGCGCGCGGGATCATGGCGTGCGTCATCGAGGCGGGGTGCCTACAGGAGAAGGGCCCGAGAAGGCTCCGAGAAGGTTCGGCGACCAGGGGCCTCGCGAGCGTCGGAGGCGGGGGGGTGCTCGATGAGCGACTCCGTGCCGCCGAGCGAGACGGCGAGCGTGATCACCTGCCCAGCAATGCACGAGTTCATCACCCCCCCCCCCCCCCCCCCCCCGGGAGAGCGTGGTCACCTCGAGCCGCTCGCAGAGGCGCCGGCCCCGCCGCAGCGCCGTCTCGTCGTCGCCCGCGATGATGAAGGCGAGCATGCCTGGTTAGTAAATCAGTGGCTAACCAGTGAACTAACTGATTCGGAACTGAAGGCGGGCACGCCTCCGAAGGACTGGGCGCGGCGAGAGCGGCAGCCCGGCCCGCCTAAGAACAGCGACTCGCGACCCACGGCTAGCTACCCGAGTGCAGCACCATTGGGCGGAGCAGCGGCAAACTCCGCGCCCGAGCTGAAGACGCGCTTGGCGAGCTCATGGTCCGGGTGGGAGGGCAGGCCGGGGTAGAAGACCTGATTCATTCACTCCTCAATCAAGTGTGAATTACTAATTCGTCGGGGAGGGCAGGCCGGGGTAGAGGGACCTGCTCCACCAGCGGCGACGCCTCCAGCAGTTTCGCCACTCGCATCGCGTTCTCCCCGTGCCTAATTAATTAGTCAATTCGGGACCTGTCACTAATAACCAACTAATTCGCCACTCGCATCGCATTCTCCCCGTGCCTCTCCATCCGGACGTGCAGGGTGCGGAGACCGCGCGCGAGTAAGAAGGACTCCAGGGGGGCGAGCGGGGCGCCTGATTAGATATTAACTAATAATGAATGTCTAACTAGTAAATTCATTAAAAGGGCTCGAGGGGGGCGAGCGGGGCACCTAATTAATATTAATAGTTCATGTCTAATAAGTAATTCATTAGAAGGACTCGAGGGGGGCGAGCGGGGCGCCTAATGAAATATTAATAGTTCCTGTCTAATAAGTAATCATTAGAAGGACTCGAGGGGGCGAGCGGGGCGCCCAGCAGCTTTTGCACCTTTGCAAGAGCGTGCAGGAACTCGCCAGACTCGGTGGTGGCGGCGCCTGTTCACAGCGGGGCGGTGTGAAGACACGCCGTTCACACCGTGCAGGAGCTCGCCAGACTCGGCGGTGGCGGCGCCGGCGAGGATGTCCGAATGGCCTCCGATGTACTTGGTGGCGGAGTGGATCGCAACGTCCACGCCCGGCACCTCGAGGCAGCGAGATTACCCGAGATTACCCGAGATTACCCGAGATCACCCGAGAGTGGATCGCGAGATCGCGACGTGTCCACGGCCGGCACCTCGAGGCAGCGCTGGTGGAAGGGGGTGGCGAAGGTGGAGTCGCACATCACCCATGGCTTGGCGTGCCTAGACACTTCCTAGACGCTTCCTAGACACTTCCTAGACACTTCCTAGACATCACCCATGGCTTGGCGTGCCCCGCGGCGGCATGCTTCTTCACCACCTCGCCGACCGCCTCGAGGTCGGTCAGCCGGCAAGTATTAGTAATCAAAGTCTAATTATTAATTATTAATTAGACAGCTTATGAAGCCTCGAGGTCGGTCAGCCGGCAAGTCGGGTTTGCCGGCGACTCGGTGTACACCACCTACCCGCCAAAGGAACGAACCGCTTCACGGAGAGCCGCGGGGCCTTCGGCGGGGCGACGCCGTGCGCTCCGCCTTGGTGGAGGGGCGGAGGGCGGCGGCATACGCGGCGGGGTCCGTCGCGTCGACGAGCGAGTACCTCGAGGAGAGAGGGGGAGATATGGCGAGATGCGGCGAGATATGTGGTGTGGGGTGAAGAGCAGCCAAGCTGTCTCTCGGCTGTACCTCGGCTGTACCTCGGCTGTACCTCGGCTGTGCCTCGGCTGTCTCTCAGCTGCACCTCGGCTGCATCTCGGCTGTCTCTCGGCGACATCTCGGCGACATCTCGGCGACATCTCGGCGACATCTCACTCGATGCCCCAGTGCTGCGCAAACTCGACCAGAAACTCGTGCGTCCCTCCGTAGACCTGTTCAGTGAACCAGCGCGTGGTCAAGCTGATGCTCGACTCAGCTTCTCGCAGCGTGCCTCCGAAGACCGTGAAGGGGAAGACTGCGTGGTCGCCCGCCTAGAACGGTAGCGCCGCATCACACGTGATTGGCCGCTCGCCACAACCAGATTGCATCGCCACACCATGTGAAGGGCGTCTCTTCACACCTCCAGCTGTGAAACTGGGTGATTGATCTCTCGCCAGAATCACATAGTCTCGCGTGATCGCCCAGCAGCACCGCCCACCACCAATGAGCGAACCACCGACTCACCAATCCACCCATCGCCCGCCGCGAGGACCGCCATTAGTGATCCCGCGGTGGCGGGCATGCTTCCAGATGGCGGTTCAGTTCTCGATGGCTGTTCTCGACGACCTCGCCTTGAGCACAGCCATCAACGAAGCGGTGATGGCCGACATGCCAGACGAGAAGAGCATGCAGCCGCCGTCGCTGTCTGGGCCAACACCCTCGAGCGCCGCCACCTGGAGGCGGAAAAAAGAAAAGTAGGGGCAGGCATCCTCGGCGAGGGAGTCACTTATAATTACCGAGACGCAATCAGTTATTAGTACTCAATAACTAATAATCGGTAGGCCTCTGCGAGTTAATCATTAATGTAGCAGCGGTAGGCGTCCTCGGCGAATGAATTACCGAATTAGGTCTAATTGATTACTTACTTGCGGCTAATTAATTAGTAGCAGCGGTAGGCGTCCTCGGCCCGTCGCTCCGACCAGGGGACTGGCATGCAGTGGCGTTGGAGGCAGGTGATGGCAGCACAGAAGGCGAGGTCTACGCCCGCACGCAGGCTACGGAGACGGGGAGCGCAGCCACCTGCCTCGCCGCGCCCTCGTTGGTGGGAGAGCCCCAGCGAGAGTACACGTACCTAGCGGCGGAGAGGAGCCGAGATTGAGCCGAGATTGAGCTGAGAGGAGCCGAGATCGAGCCGAGATCGAGCCGAGATCGAGCCGAGATCGAGCCGAGATCGAGCCGAGATCGAGCCGAGATCGAGTGCAGGCGGTCGCCCGTCCCCGTCGGCGTAGGCCGTCTCGCTCTTGGCGTGCAGCCGCGCGCCGTGCGCCGAGTCGTCGAGCTCGAACGTGGAGCCGAGCACGATTGGCAGCGAGAGCGCCTTGACGCGCCGGATCGCGTAGTCGCTGACCTGAAGGGAGGCGTTAGCATGCACGGCTGTAGCAGGGAGTGCTGCGGGCGAGAGTGCGTGTGCCGCTGGTGCATTCGGCGGTGCTCGGCTGCGAACGGAGCAGCGGCGGCGGCGTGGCGTGGGAGAGCGGCACGCGGCGCTGTTTGTGGCTTCGCTGGCTGCGGTGCTCGCCTTGACGACGCTGGCGCAACGGGTGGCGTAGCCGTACTTGTTCCAGCCAGGACGCGGCGTGCCGACCGGCACGCCGTCGCCAGCCGCGCCGGAGAGGGACGTGTCGCCGAGCAGGGAGGGGTCAATGTCCACCGGCTTGGCCGAGAGGGCTCTCGCCGCGCGGCCAAAGGCCGGCGCGAGCGGGCGAGCGAGAGGACGAGCCGCCGCCAACCGTGGCAGGGCGGCGAAGGCGCGCCGTGCCGCGCCAGGCGGCGCGGAGAGCTGAAGGCGGAGCATGTGTCGGCGTGGCGGCCGACAGCGGGCCGACAGCGCGAGCTCCGACGAGCTGACTCGATGTCACGCAGAAAAAAAACAGGAAAAAATCCAAGTACTGCGCGTCTCTTCAGCCTCTCGCCCCCGTCGTGCCATTTTTGGTGAAGATGAATGAGTGAGGAAGACGTGTACTACGTGTGCATGCACTAGCACAGCGATAACTGAGGAATGCACCCTCCCTTCCTTTTATCTTTATCTTTTACAACCATATGTCCTCTGTCGTCTTCTGACATTTGACAACCCCGGAAGCGGAACTCAAGACTCAATGAAAGAGCGTGCGATCTTGCCGCTTGCGAGAGGCAAGGCAAGCGCGATTCGACAGGCACCAAACGCCCAGACTGCCAACTTCGCCCGCTGGCCCGACCGCCTCGCAGGGCTGCCTCTTCGCCGCCGTGAGGACCTCTAGCCCTGAGGACCTCTCTAGGTCTAGCTGTGATCCTTTGTAACCCCCATCTGATGTTACATAATTGCCTCTGACATGGTGTATGTCCCAGCCCCAAGCCAGACGTGCATGCAGGCTCTCAGTGAGTCGCTCGCTCACTTCTACGGCTGTGTGTGCCCAGAACGCAGCAATCTCTTGCTCAAGGAAGCCCACCCTTGCTTGGCTCGCTGGCCCCAAACCTCCGCCTCTTTGCCACCGCGTGAGGACCTTCTGGCCGTGAGGACCTCTCTCCGTGAGGACCTCTCTCTGCCGGCGATGGCGCTAAGAGGTTCCTCTTTTCCGCGCCCCCCCCCCGCAAGGCGCGCGATACACACTGCCCTCTGGCCGTGAGCGTCTTGGAGGCGACCGTCCATCCACCCGCCCGCTGCGAAGTCACTGTTAAAAAGAAAGAAAACAGACAACCCAAGGGAGGGATGGGAGGAGTCACTGTTGCGCGTTTATTTTATTTTAGGCGAATTCTTTTATTTGCGGACGTTTCCTCGCCGGGGGGGGGCACCCCTCGCACCCCTCATACCGAGAGCAAGTCCGAGGTTGGTCGCTTGCCGCTGCCTTCTTGCATCGGCCAGCCTCCACGGCCATGCCTCGCAAGTCGCGGCGCACTGTGCAGCGCGCGGACCCTGCGCTCGACAGGCGTACGTGGCGTCCTGCGACCGGCCGCGCCGCTACGGCGTCAGAGGCGGAGGGCGAGGCTTCGGCAGCGGCTCGCAAGACGCCAAAGAAGGGCAAGGAGCCAAAGATCGGGCTGCTCCAGCTCCTTCACTTTGCGACGCCGCTCGACTACCTCTGCCTCTCCATCGCCGTGCCGTGCGCCGCCGGGACCGGCTTTCTGCAGGTGACGCGAACGACACCACCGCCGCTCGCTTGGCGGCCGCCGGCCTCTGGCCGTAAACACGCGGGGAAACCCTAGCCCCTATTCCTAGAGATCGATGCGGCTCCTCGCCGCATAGCCGCTTCCCGGCAATCTCTTGCGGCGCCGATCGTCTTCACGACTCCGCAAACGACATCAGCACTTCGCCCTTCTTCCGCAGGTCTCGATCCTCTTCATCTTCGGCGCGCTGCTCGACTCGCTGGGCTCCACCTCGGCGGGGTGGATAGAGAGAGACGAGAGGCGCACTCTCAAAGCCGAACACCAGGCTTTCACGAGGTCGCTAGCGACGGAGGGACGGTCACACTGGGGCAACGCAGCCTCACAGACGCCACAGGCACGACACGCCGCAAGCCCTGCTTTCACACTCGGCCTGACACACATCCCGAGCCACTCGAACAGAAGAGACGCGCGAGAGCGGATGTACGTAGTGTAGCGCGTGCTCGCGTCCGCCTCCTCGAGCCCGGGGTGACCCGAGGTTGCCCGAGAGCAGGCGACGGGTGTGCTGGTGCCCGAAACCTTCTCGCTCGGAAGCCGGCCAGCTTAGATGCGGCATCACAGTATTAAGGCAGAGCATGAAAGTCAAGATTGTAATCGTGATCATAACTGCACTGGTAAGGAAAAGTACGCTCTTAGAACATCAATTCGAAGTCAATAGCGCTGATACTACTACTCCACGCAGGGCTCTCATTGCGCTGCAAAGCACCGTATGCCAGCAGCCTGGCGGTCCCCTCTTCACACGACCCGCGCGTCAAGCCCCCTCTCCACGACCCGAGCCCTGGTGCGCTCCACGCCGCAGGCTGGGAGATGCCGCTCTGGTTCTGGTTCGTCTTGCTCGGCCTCGGCCAGTGGATCCTCTGTACGGTCTACAACGGCCTCACCGACACCGCAAAGGAGCGAATGATCGCGCGGCACGCTAGATGGGGGGATGCAGATGGGGGGGGAGGTGCACATGCGGGATGCAGACCTCTTCACTTGATCGGGCCGCGTTCACCGCATTCGGAGCTCGCGCATTCACATCCTGGCCGCGCTTCACAAAACACAGTTTACACACTACAGACACTCAATTGACCCTACGGGGGTCTGAGTGCCACCGTTGTCGCAACAGGTGCGGTACAAGCTCGCCTACGTCAAGGCCATCCTCCGGCAGGAAATACACAACGGATAATCAATAACTAGTAATCAAGAAATAAGCTCGCCCACGCCAAGGCCATCCTCCGGCAGGTCTCTCACCCCCCATGGCACGGGCAGAACGGCTGATAATCTAGACACCCTTACACTTATATCTGGCACACGAGCCCGGCTGCCTCTTCACAGGGTCCCACAGACTCAGACTCGGCCTGTGAACAGGACATCGGCTGGTACGACACGAACAGCCCGCTCCAGCTCTCGACGCGCATCGGCGAGCGCCGCACACGCGGCCGCGCAGGCGCTGTGAACGGCGTCTCTTCACGCCGCTCCGCTGTGAACAGGCGAGGGCCTCAAGACGATTGAGGAGGCGCTGTCGCCAAAGGCCTCCCCCCCCCCCCCCCCCCCTCGAGTGGCCGCTCTCGGCCTACTCTCGGCCCAATCTCGGCTGGTCTCCCGAAGGCCGTCATCCTCTTCGAGTGGCTAGCGATGGCCGTCACCGGCTGGGCCCTCTGCTTCAAGTACGAGTATCAGCCGTGATCAGCCGAGAGTAGCCGAGAGTAGCCGAGAGTAGCCGAGAGTAAGCCCGAGAGTAGCCGTCGTTTGCTGGGCCTTCCGTTCCACGTGCAGCCGTCGCCTTCGCCCTCGTCCTCGCGTGCCCTCCTCACCTCCAGCCGCGCGCAGGTACGAGTGGCGCGTCGCCCTCATCATCCTCGCCTGTTCTCCGCTTGTGCTGCTCGGAGGTGCGCCGAAAAGTCCACGCGCTACTCTCACTCGGAATAGCTCTTCTCGCCCGCCGACCGCCCGCGCATAGTCCAGCGCGCAGCGCGAGAGGAGGCACACTCTCCCCCCCCTTCACAAGAGGCGCCTGCGAGCAGGCGCGCTGATGGGGTACGCGCAGCAAAACGGGCAAAAGAGCGTCGTCGACGGGTACGCCGAGGCGGGCGCGATCGCGACCGAGGTGCGCGGGGCCTTGGCTGTGTTTAGGAGTGCCATTCCTCTTCTTAGTAGTGTCTTTCCTCTTCTTAGTATTCTTAGCGGCGTTGGCCTCCTCCTTCTCATTCGTATCAGGCGCTGGCATTCACTGTGGCACTTAATCTTGCGATCACCATTCTTCAGCATCACTAAATTATTCCCCGTTCTCACTCTCACCGTGTCCAACTTGGCCAGGTGCTTGGCGCCGTGCGGACCGTCGCATCGCTCGGCCTCGAGACGCTGTCGGCGAGCCGGTACGACGCGGCGTTGCACAAGGCGCAGCGCGCGGGCATCAAGGCGCCTCTGCCCGTCGCGTTCGAACGCTCCGCGAACCCTTCATGCACCTTCCATGAGCCTCCTATGTCACACACACACACACACACACACACACACACACACACACACACACACACACACACACACACACACACACACACACACACACACACACACACACACACACACACACACACACACACACACACACACACACACACACACACACACACACACACACACACACACACACACACACACACACACACACACACACACACACACACACACACACACACACACACACACACACACACACACACACACACACACACACACACACACACACACACGCACATAGAGCCTCGCACTCTGCCTGCCGTGGGGCTCCTGTATTAGAGATAGAGTCGCGAGGGCTGCGTGACCCTTGCCCCCCACCATCTCGAGTGTGTGGAGTCGCTTACCGTACCTCACCTCACCTCACATAGTCCCTCCGCAGGTGTCTCTGCTCGTCGGGCTTGGCATGGCGATCCTCTTCTCGGCACCAAACGTGATGATGGGCGCCGGCCTGATCTACGGCACGTCGCTGCTCAAGGACGCTCGCACGGAGCGCCAGATGCAGCACTCTTTCCTCGTCCGGACGGCGGGCGGGTTCAACACGACGCTGCAGCTCTGCGCCAAGCCGTGCGATGAGTACAACCTGGCCACCGTCCATCTCCAAAGTGTCGCCCGTCCGTTCCTATCGTTGATGCTTGATGCGGCGTTCTGCTTTGGCGTAGGCCAACGCCGACTACAACACCACGCTCGCGCTCTACAACCACAACACCCTCTCGCCGGCCACGCCGCGCAGCTGCGCAGATTTTGGCGCCAAGGTGCTGACTTGGACGTGCTTCACGGCGGATCTGACCGTCTCCTCGGGCCTCTTCGACGCGGACGCGTGAGCCGCGCCAGATGCCGAATCTCGACTAGGGGAGAGGCGCTGTATGCAGCTCAGCCGCATTCACTGCACCGCAGCCAATGCATTCACGCAAACGCACAACCCCGATGCATTCACGCGATGGTCTGAATACACGGCGGGTGCTCGCGGCGCAGGTGGGCCACGCTCTCCTTCTCGTCGAGCGACAGCAGCCCGCTCACCTTCCTCGAGGTGCCCGGCCAGCCCGCCCTCCTCGACGACGCCTCCTTCCGCTCGTACTTCGAGCAGCAGACGGGCGGCTGGACTTGCGCCGTCCTCCCGGCGGCCGTGCTGCTCGCCATCTTTGCGCTCCAGAACGGCGCCCAGGGTCTCGGCAACGTGGGCCAGCCCGTCAACATCATCGCAAAGGGGCGGCAGGCCGGCGTCGCGATTCTGCAGACCATCCGCCGCGTGCCTGCAATCGACTCCTTCTCGACGGCCGGTACCACGCTCGACAGCGTCACCGGCGCAATCGAGGTTGTCGATGTGGTCTTTGCGTACCCCTCAGCGCCGGAGCGGACAGTCTGCCACGGCTACTCCCTCTCGATCGGCGCGGGGCAGACGGTGGCGCTGTGCGGCCCGTCCGGCAGCGGCAAGTCGACTCTCGTCGCGCTGCTCGAGCGCTTCTACGACCCGCAGGGCGGCGCGATCACCCTCGACGGTGTCGACATCCGCACGCTCAACCTGCGCTGGCTCCGCTCCCACCTTGGGCTGGTGGGGCAGGAGCCGGTGCTCTTCGAGGGCACCGTCGCGGAGAACATTGGCTACGGCAAGGAGGGCGCCTCGCAAGACGAGATCGAGGAGGCGGCGCGGGCGGCGAACGCGCACGGCTTTGTGATGGACAGCCTGCCCGACGGCTACGCCACTCAAGTTGGGCAGGGCGGAGGCATGCTTTCGGGCGGCCAGAAGCAGCGGGTGGCGATTGCTCGCGCCATCGTTCGCAAGCCGGCGGTGCTGCTGCTGGACGAGGCGACGTCGGCGCTGGATACGGCCGGGGAGCGGGTGGTGCAGGCGGCGCTGGACAATATCGTGTCGCAGCACAAGCGGACGACGGTCACCATTGCACACCGCCTCTCGACAATCAAGCATTCCGACAAGATCGCCGTGCTGCAGGACGGCGCGGTGGTGGAGGAGGGCACGTACCAGGAGCTTCTCGACCTCGGCGAGGGCGGCGCATTTTTCAAGCTGGCGCAGGCGCAGGAGAAGACCGAAGGGGGGCGGCTGCCCTCAGTCGGCTCCGGCATGGACCTCGCTTCCCTCGCCGAGGTGACCCTCAGTTCGGTCACGGCGGAGGCGACCGGCGCGGGCAGCGGCTGGACCGGAGGCAAGGCGGAGGGCGGCAAGCAGCGGCGCAAGGGCAAGGGTGGTAAGGATGCGCCGCCCAAGAATGTGATCCGGCGGCTGCTCTCAATGCAAAACAAGGGCGGCGCGTGGTGGAGTGTTTGGCCGGGGGGGGCGCGCATCTCTTCACGGCTGCAGCGGTGAGTAGGCGACGTGTGGTACCTCTTCGCCGGCGCTCTGGGCACGCTGCTCGTGTCGGCGTTCTGGCCGTCCATCGGCGTGCTGTTTGCAGAGCTGCTCACGACGCCCTTCACGCCAAACCCGGACGAGGTTGCGAGGAGGAGGGGCCGTGTTTGGGGCGTCTTCCTCGCGACGAACCAATCAACGAATTGGCGCATTAGGTTGCGAGGCAGGGTGTCTTCTGGGGCGCCCTCTTCATGGTCTCCTTCCCGCTCTGCCTTGTCTGCTCCCTGCTCCAGTCGGGTGGGCTCGGATGTCGCGGGGTAGCAGTTCCCGGCGCCGTCGCTTCACACCGTTGAGCTGCGCGCAGGCGGGCTCGGTGTCGCGGCGGAGCACCTGACGCGCAACCTCCGCTCGCACAGCGTCTCAAAGTGGCTGACGATGGAGATTGCCTTCTTCGACGAGGAGGCAAACTCGTCGGGCGAGCTGACGCAGTTCTTGGGCGAGTCGGTCACTCTCATCCAGGCGAGGTGTAGCCGAGACAGAGCGATATGCGGTGCGACGGTCCCAAGATGCGGTGCGTCGAGGAGTGGAGGCACCTCCGACGTACAGCGAGGGCGGGATGTAGCCGAGCTGTAGCCGAGCTGTGTGCCCGAGGTGCCGCGCGTTCGGTCCTCCCAGGCGTTGAGCGGCGAGAAGCTCGGCCAGCTGCTGCAGCTCAGCTTCACACTGGTGGTCGGCCTCTCGCTCATGTTTGCGCTGGGCGACTGGGCGGTCTCGCTGGTCGTCCTCGGCGCGCTGCCGCTGATGGGGGTGGCCATGACGCTCCAGGTCACCCTCGTGGCGGGCGGCAAGGTTGGCGACGCAAAGACGGAGGGGGCTGGCCGGCGGGCGGCGGCGAGCCGCTCTGCGGGCGCCCTCATCAGTGAGGTCGTCCTAGGGATCCGGACGGCCGCCTGCTTCCCGCGGCAAGACACGGGCAGCGGCGTGAGCCGCCTTCATTCACGCGGCTGGCTGTGGACAGGTCGCCTCCTTCACGGCGGAGCACAAGCTGTTCGCCGACTACAGCGCCATCGTGCAGTCGGCCTCGCGGCAGGCGATGCGGTAGTACCTTAAGGTAGAGGGCAACCAGACTTCAATGGTTGGCACTCGCTTGCACGCCCACGCGACTAGCGGCAGGAGACGTGGCTTCACTTCTCCGCGGCGTCGCGGCAGGCCATGTGCCGCAATTGGGCGATCGCGTTCGTGACGGGCTTCGCTAAGGGGCTCATTATCATGATCTTTGGCGCCATCTTCGAGTGCGAAGCATGTGAGGTGTGAACAGCGTCTCTTCACACCTCTAGCTGTGGCCAGGCGCCATCTTCGAGTTCGGCATGTGGCGCGTCCGCACGAGCGACGCGGCGCTGCCCGGCGCGCCCGAGGCGTCCTCTGACCCGGACGAGTGCGCGGGGTCGCTGGACCTGTCTGGAAGCGACGCCGTCTTCATTCCGCTGATGGCGTCGCCCCCTGACGGCGGTTTCAGCAGAAGCGCTCGTCGCACCAACTCATCCGTCAGTCAACCCGTCACTAGGTGATGTTCCTGATGGCGGCGAGCGTCGGCGGGTCGGCGTCGCAGGCGACGGACGCGAGCAAGGCCAGCGCCGCGGCCGCCGCCTACTTCAAGCGCGTCGACCGCCCCTCTTTGCTCGACCCTACCAGCGACGAGGGCGAAACCCTCCTCAGCGTCACCGGCGCAATCGAGGTTGTCGACGTCGTCTTTGCGTACCCCACCCGCCCCGACTTCACCATTTGCCACGGCTACTCCCTCTCGATCGGCGCGGGGCAGACGGTGGCGCTGTGCGGCCCGTCCGGCAGCGGCAAGTCGACTCTCGTCGCGCTGCTCGAGCGCTTCTACGACCCGCAGCGCGGCGCGATCACCCTCGACGGTGTCGACATCCGCACGCTCAACCTGCGCTGGCTCCGCTCCCAGCTTGGGCTGGTGGGGCAGGAGCCGGTGCTCTTCGAGGGCACCGTCGCGGAGAACATTGGCTACGGCAAGGAGGGCGCCTCGCAAGACGAGATCGAGGAGGCGGCGCGGGCGGCGAACGCGCACGGCTTTGTGATGGACAGCCTGCCCGACGGCTACGCCACGCAGGTGGGTCTCCGCGGAGGCATGCTTTCGGGCGGCCAGAAGCAGCGGGTGGCGATTGCTCGCGCCATTGTTCGCAAGCCGGCGGTGCTGCTGCTGGACGAGGCGACGTCGGCGCTGGACAATGAGAGCGAGCGGGTGGTGCAGGCGGCGCTGGACAGTATCGTGTCGCAGCACAAGCGGACGACGGTCACCATTGCACACCGCCTCTCGACAATCAAGAACGCGGACAAGATCGCCGTGCTGCGCAAGGGCGCGGTCATCGAACAAGGGTCGCACGAGGAGCTGCTCGAGCTGGGCGGCACCTACCTCGCCCTGTGGGAGGCACAGCAGTGAGAGCACGCCGCGCCTCTTGGCCACGCCGGTGCCGGTGCCAGCTAGGGTGCCAGTGGCGAGGGAGGCTCCACCTCGCCGCCGTCGCGTGAAGAGGTGGCGCTCTGGCATCGGCGATATCAGGCATGCGCGGCCCTCGGCTGGCGAGCGACCCGGCAAGTAGCCAGCCCACGTACGTATATTTCCGTACAGTGTCCATGCCGCGGGGAAGCATTCCGTACAGTGCCCATGCCGCGGGGAAGCAGTGTACACTTTTCATGGAAAGAGAGCTCCGACAAACTGTCCTGCAGACCACACAAACTGCGTCAGAAAGAAAGAAGCGGGGAAAGCAAGTGGCAGTCTAGGAATGCGATGCGGACTTGCTAAGTCGTGTGTGCTCCTTTTTGCTTGCTAAGACTGGAACAATTTTTTTTAGAATGTGCGGGTCGCATTCCTAAAGGAGCACACACGACTTAGCAAGTCCGCACCAGCGACTGCCACTCGCCTAACCGTGCCTCGTCACAAGTGCTCTCCCAATCGCGTACCTTACAGGCACACACACTCCGCCTGTTCTCACCCAAGCACTCTGTCACACCCTTGCCTCCCTGCCAGAGCGAGCTAGATTCTCCCCGCCTCCCTCCCGCCTCTGCCGCGCGCCTTCTATGGACGTCAAGTGCAGCACCTAGGGGGAGAGAGGGGGTTTGCCCTGGTAGGGAGGTGGCGAGGCCGCGCACTGCAAACCCAGTGTGAGGAGTGGGGGAGCTGGGACAGGGCGTGTGCGCCTCTGATCTGTCATGGTCTAGTGGCCGATAGGATCCTCCCGTAGGCAGCGATGGCGGGTCGGGAGAGGCCCGAGTTCTCAGCCCGCCACTTACTGTCAGCCTCTCTGACTGCCCAGGGTCTCACCACGATGCCGCCCGAGTAGGGGGATAAGGTGTGTGTAGAGTGCGGCTCTGTACTGAACCTCTCTCTGTGTGGATCCCACCTGAGCCCACTCGCGGTGCGAAGGCTCCTAATGCGGCAACTGAGCCCGCAAGGGTAGGGCACTCTGTCAGGGAGAAGTTATGTTGGATAATATGTTGTGTTGTGGCGTACTGCTGTGCAGCTGGCGCAGCGAGCCCTGCCACGGCTCGTCGTCGAGACTGGTCGGTGGGTGGTGCCTGTAACAGCTGAGGCAGGGAGACTGCCTGTGAGTGTAGCGCAGCCGCGCGGTTGCCTGAGGTGTTGGGATGACTAAGTGGAGAGACAGGTACGACCGTACCTGGGTATGGCGTAGGCTGGTGGCTAGGGTTAGCTGGGCGCGCACGGCGAGTCCAGTCACATTGCCGCCCCGCAACAGCGATATGAGTGGTCTCTCGGGGAGAGGAAGAGCAAGGGCGAGAGAGGGCAAGGGACTGGGTGCTGGCATACCAGGGGGGGCAGGGTGGTGGGCGGCGACCGCCGCATACCGTCCTACGGCGGGGATTATCGCTACGCCAGGGAAGACAAGGGCGTCGAAGTGCAGCTGCTGCTGTTCGAATCGTTCGGCGGGTTCGGAAAGGGGGTCCGTGAGATCCTCCGGAGAGCGGCGGACGTGCTACAGAACAAGCTGACGCGGGCCCAGTACCTCGATGAGGTGACTTGGACCACCAAGAGCTGGCTGGGGCTGCAGAAGCAGCGCATCTCAGTCGTTCTTCACACGGCCATCGCAGAGCAGGTCGTGAATGAGCTTGCCTGTGGCGGGGGTGGGCGGGTGCACGGAGCTAAGTGCCTCGCCACCCTCGCAGGAGTCGCTTAGGCGGCTCCCGTGGTGTACCTGTGTTAGTGCCAGTGCGCGCCAGTCCCGTGCCCAGTGTTGTGCGAGGGAGTTTTGTTGTAAGATTCTTGGCTGTATCTCGGCTAGATCTCGCCGATGGCGGAGCGAGCGTGCTAGCCTCTTTTCTTTTCTTGGCTGTATCTCGGCTAGATCTCGCCGATGGGCACTAAAATTCTACACCGCGTGAGCGCACGCGAACAAAGGACGGAATATTTATTCGGCCCGGCGCGTCCAAAAGGGGGAGAGGTCTCTCGAAGACGAGACCTCGCGTACAGAGTAAGACGTCCGCAATGACGCTTCTGAAAATAAAACAAGTGTGAAGGAAAACGCGTAACGACTCTACTCGCGATAAGACTCGTTCGCGCATCGGACTCACAAGCGCAGTGGCGGCGCCGCTCGCGCGGCGACGCCGATGCTGAGGGAGGGTGTAGAGGATGTAGAGTGTAGAGCGCTGTAGAGCTGTAGAGATGTAGAGCGCTCTGGAGCGCTGTAGAGCAATGTAGAGCTGTAGAGCTCTACATCCACCGCGTGACGAACTGCCTCCGTTGTAGAGCGATGTAGAGGCGCTCTACAACGTGAAATCTCTACAACAACTCATGGGCGCTCGCAAAAGGTCGCGGACCCGCCCGTCGCTTGCCGCCCCTGTCCCAGCCCTTGCCGGCGACGGGATCACGAACCTAGGGCTCAGTTCCGTCTCCCCCCCCCTCGCCCCTGTGTGTAGGCCGTTTAACGCTGGCGGGAAGAGGCGCGCCGAGCCATCGGCGTCGTCCCGGCGAGCTCATGGGCCCCCAAAAGGTCGCACCGGCCCGTGGCTCCGCCGTCGGCTCCGCCGCGAGCGGTGACGGTGAGGCCTCCGGGGCTCGCCTATACCGGCTAGTGTGGAGCTCTGAGTGTGGTTACGTGTTTTACTGTCTACGCAGGCCCGTCCGACGGGATGGTGGGGTCTGTGGGGATTGAGACCGGGAGTGGGGAGAGCGCGGCCCCAGCGCCCAGACGGCCCAGTGGATGCGCCATAAAGCGTAAGCTAGCTGACTAAAACAAAAGATTCAGGTGTCCCGTTTGTGCAAATCGACACCCCTCCCCAAACCGCTTTCCCCGGACCCCCCCCCGCGGCGGTGCTCACAGTCACACGTGCACTATAACGTGCAACACGCCAATCCGAATGGCCATCGATGTCCCCGGTCTGCATCATCTATTCCCCCGTGTGTCTTTCGCCCAACCAGACCCTGACCCCACTTCCCCCTCCCCCGCCCTCTTGCCCGCTCCGACGCTCTTGTCCCAAGCGGCCGAAGCGCGCCGAGAGACGCAGACACCCCCCCCCCACCGCCGCTGTGCGTCGTGCTCCGCAGCCGCAGGGTCTGTTGCTCTCTGCCTTGCTCGCGCGGCGGTCCCGCCGGGCCCCGCGCCCTTGCCGCCCGGCCGGGGCTGGAGAGGCTCAGCCGAGCTCGATGCCGCGCTCCTCGCACACGGCCACCAGCTCAGGCTGCTCCCTGTTGTCCACGAAGAGATACTGCACGCGAGGGGAGGTGCGATGAGCATTGGGCGGGGGAGGGGCGTGTGGCGAGGGGGGCGTCTCGCGCCTTCAAGCTCGGGGCGGCCCCCTCCTTGAGGGCGGCGGCCAGCGCCTTGCAGCCCTCGTCGCCAATCTCGTTGCAGAAGAGATAGAGCTCCTTGAGCCGCGGCGCTGCCCCCTCCTTGCCGAGGGCGGCGGCCAGCGCCTTGCAGCCCTCGTCGCCAATCTTGTTTTCGCCGAGAGAGAGCGTCTCGAGCCGCGGCGCTGCCCCCTCCTTGCCGAGGGCGGCGGCCAGCGCCTTGCAGCCCTCGTCGCCAATCTTGTTGCGCTGGAGCTCGAGCCTCTCGAGCCGCGGCGCTGCCCCGCTCGCGAGGACCTCCGCCAGCTGCGCCGCCTCCGCGTCGCCCCAGCCGAGGCCGCGGTAGTTCAGCACGGTCGCCTTGCCAAACTGCTCCTTGAAGGCGGCCTCGTACAGCTGCTTCACCAGCGGCTTGTCGTCCTTGCCGTTGGTGAAGCTCTTCTTCTCCAGCTCCGCCGCGAACGCAGACGGCAGCAGCGGAGGGCGCCGGCCGCCGTCCTGGACGCAGTCGTCGATGAGGCTGCCGTAGCCGTACTCCACGCCGGCGCGCATCTTGCCGAGGTCTAGGGAGAGCTGGCCGGCCTTTGTCAGGCTGGCCCAGGCGTTCTCGGTGGAGCACCAGCCGCGGTCAAAGTACTTGCCACGTTGGTGCCCTCGGCCTGGTCCTCCGCCTTGTGGCCGTCCGGGAAGGAGGTCAGCCGCAGCACGTATGTCTTCGGGTGGGAGTAGAGCGTGCCGAGGCAGCTCAGCCCCTGCTTGAAGAGCGCGTTCTGCTCCTCGGTGCGCAGGACGCCGTTGGGGGGGTCGGGGTGCTGGTGCAGCGAGCCGAAGTCCCAAAAGACGCCGAGCCGCGGGTTGACGGGTTTGCCGAACACGGGATGGTCGCTGAGCAGGGCCTTGAGCGCCCTCGCGACGCGGGCGAGGTTGGCTCCGCGCGGGTCGGGGTGGTCCTTGGTCAGCCACGGGTAGGAGAGCGCGGCGACGGGAAGGTAGCCATACTCGCCGGTCGCCTCGACGAGGTCGGCGAAAGAGAGGAAGGCCTCTTTGGGCAGCGCCTGACGGTGGGTGAGGACGCCGCCCGCCTCGGCGTGGCTGATGACCCACTGCGCGTCGAGGACGGCGACGGCGCTGCTCGCGAGGACCGGCTCGAGTTCGCCGCCGCCGCGCTTGCGCCACAGCTCCAGCTTCCCCTCGCTCACGCCGAGATCGGTGGCGGAGGGGAAGGCGGCGGCCGGCTGCGTCGGCGCGGCGGTGTCGGCGGGCGTCGGGACGTCGAGTTCGACGGCGGGAGGGCCGGGCGGCTCCAGTTTCGTCTCGCTCACGCCGAGATCGGGGGCGGGGGGGAGGGCGTCTGCCGGCTGCGTCGGCGGGGCGGTGTCGGCGGGCAGCTCCTCGGTCGGGGCCTCGACGCGGCCGGAGAAGCAGCCCATCGTGAGAAGGCGGCGATGGTTACAACTTTTTGAGAATCTTACAACAAAACTCCCTCGCACAACACTGGGCACGGGACTGGCGCGCACTGGCACTAACACAGGTACACCACGGGAGCCGCCTAAGCGACTCCTGCGAGGGTGGCGAGGCACTTAGCTCCGTGCACCCGCCCACCCCCGCCACAGGCAAGCTCATTCACGACCTGCTCTGCGATGGCCGTGTGAAGAACGACTGGTGCAGCGCGCCCTGGCCGCAGACTGAAGAACGGCCACGAGGGGTGTAAATAAATAAAAATAAATAAAACGGACATCCCAAGCTAGGGCTGGGTCGAGGACAGACACGTCCCCACCTTTGCAGGATTTTGCAAAAGCGAGGGGGGAGGGCGCATCGCGGCGCGGAGAGGGCTGGGCACGGGCACTGCCACAGGGGATCTCTCTCGCATAGGATACGCACTCGGCGGCACGAGGGCAAGGCTGGGCGTCCTATTTGTGCTCCCCTCCGTATCCCTCGCTCTCGGGCACTATTCATCTGACCACTCATCAGAGGGGCTTCTAGGCGATCGGCCGCGCTCCGGGGCAGGGCTGGGTAGGATGGGCTCGGGCCACTCGCCCGTGCGGGTGTATCCCCGCATGAGCCGGATGGAGGCCTCGACTGTCCCTCGCGGCAGGCTCTCGAGCAGCTCGAGCAGCTCTCCCGCCGCCACCGCCGCGTCGTACTGCTCCTTCAGGCCGAGCGCGCCGCAGACCCTGCGGACCGCCTCCTGCTGCACCTCGTCCGGTAGATCCGTGTCATAGCCGGAGGAGTCGGCGGAGGACGCCCGCTTGGCGGGCGGCGAGTCCGGTGAGGGAGAGCGCGACTGGCGCGAGGGCCCGCCGCCGCGCGCCGACAGCGCGTTCTTGTCGACGAGCCGGGGTCCAGCACTGGCGCGGCCGCTGGCACTGCGGCCCTTGCCGCGCTGCTGCTGCCCGCGCTTCCTTCCCGGATTAGGGACAGTGAAAGTGCAGCCGCGCACTCCGCCGCCGCTGGGCGGCGGCGGCACGCGCGCGGCGGCGGCCGGGCCCGCAGGCGCGGCGGGCTGGCCTCCCGCGGTGGCACCCTGCGGGTGCAATGCGGCTGCGGCGGCGTACGTCATGTTGGTCGCCGGCTCCGCAGCTGGCGGCTCGGCGGCAGGGGCTGGCGGCGCCGCAGGGCTCGCGCTCGCGGCGGCTCCGTGGCCTGCGCCTGCCGCTCATGGCGGACCGCGCGCTCGAGTTGTGAGTGCGGGTGGAGCTGCACAATGACGTCGCCGCTCTGCGTCGCGGTGAAGGAGACCGAGTACGGCGCGTCGCCGTCGTTCTTCTTCTCCGCGTAGACGAGCGCGTAGTCGCACACCTGTCGTTGGTGGTCAGTGAATATGCTCTCCGTGCAGCGCTCGGCGGCGCCGACGCGAGCAAATCTGAACTTGGTCGTCCGAGTTCCCAACTAGTAGTGAGACGGGCGCGCCTAGAATTCTTTTTTTCTGTGGACTGCGGGCAGTTCGTCTGAGGAACGACCTTGCACGAGCCGACCGGCTTCGGCTCTGCCGTGCTGGCTCCGGCCGGGCTGGCAAGGCCATGCTGAAGCAGCTGGTGCAGGACCAGCTTCGCGCAGTGCTCTCGGACTACATCTATTTCGACGACGCAACCTACAAGACGCCGGGTTGGGGAAATGTGCTGCTCGAAAACGTCCGCGTGCGCGAGACGGCTTTTGAGCGTTTCGGCCTCCCAATCGCCGTCAAGTCTGGGCGTGTCGGTCGGCTGGAGGTTTCGCTCCCGATCGGCAACTTCAACAACAAGCCGGTGCAGCTGGTGCTCCACGAGCTCTACGTGGTCGCCGGGCCGATCCGCAACTTTGACCGAGACCGCGCCATCTCCAACATGAGAAAGGCAAAGGCGGACGCGATTCTGAGCGCGCAGGCGGCGGAGATTGCGGAGCGGCTGGCGGAGCAGGGCGGCGACTCCTCCTCCTCCAAGCGCGCGGGGAAGGACGACGCGAAGAAGCGAGGCTCTTCGATCATCGACATCCAAACCATCATCGACAACATCCAAGTGTCGATCTCGGACCTGCACCTGCGGTTCCGGAGACGAGGGCCCGCGGGCTGGTGATTCGAGATCACCCGAGATCACCCGAGATTGCCCGAGACTAGGTACGAGGACGACGACTCGCGGCTGGCGCCCGAGCTGCACACCGCCATCGGCCTGACCATCCGGCGGCTGACCGTACGCACGTGCGACGAGCAGTGGAAGCAGGTGTGGAGGAACGTGTCGCGCGGCAAGGACGGCAACGTGTCCTCCTCCTCCAACCGCCAGGTCAAGTGCGACGCACTCGCCTTCTACTCGAACAAAAAGTCGTCCGACCGCTGGTCGATGGATCTCGCCGACGAGATCAACCGGCGGCTGCTGCTGGCGATGATCACGCAGCGGTCGGGCGGCCGCGAGGCGCTGGTCAAGCATGTCCTCGAGCCAACCTCGGTGGACATCCGCGCTGCGCTGCTGCCGATGCTCGACGGCGGTCGCCGAGCGACGGCGGAGGCGCCGCCGCAAGCCGACGTTAAGGTCGAGGCGTCGTCGGACGTGGGGCGTCGGGCTGTGAACGGCGTCTCTTCACACGCCGACCTGTGAACAGGTCGAGGCGTCGGACGTGGAGCTAGTGCTGGATGAGCGCCAATGGGCGCTCCTCGCCTCCCTCTCCGCTCACTCTGACTCACCCTAAGACCTGACCCTAACCCTACCCCTAACCCCAGGCGCACCTCGCCTCCCTCTCCGCCTGCTCTGACTCACCCCAAACCTGACCCTTACCTAACCCCCTACCCCTAACCCCAGGCGCACCTCGCCTCCCTCTCCGCCTACTTCGCCCGGTTCGGCCTCTGGACGCGCTACCGAGGCAACCCCTCGCTAGTCCCGCCTTCGGAGCGGCTAGCGTGATTACTAATTAAGTACTCAATTAATAATTAATTAGGCAACCCCTCGCTAGTCCCGCCGTCCGAGCGGCCGTCCCGCCTCAAGCGCGGCTCTGCAGCGGCCATGTGGCGGTACGCGCTGCGGTGCGCGCTTGGTGAAGTGACCTCGCCGCAAATCAGGAATGGAAGTGCATGAATTAGGTACGCGCTGCAGTGCGTGCTGCTCTGACTCTGAGTATTTACTCAGCGATGAATCAATTGCTAACTAGGTACGCGCTGCAGTGCGTGCTGCTCGACTTGCGTCAAGAGTCTGCAGGCTCGTGGCAGGGACTAAGTAATTAATCTTTAGTTAAGTGCCAACTGACGACATGGGGAGATTCATTGATAAGTAATTCGTTCACATCCCGAGTCCGCAGCTCGTGGCGCGGGGAGGAAGCAGTTACTTCACTGTCTAATGAATGGAGCCCGAGTCTGCAGGCTCCTGGCGCGGGCTGCTGCGCAAGCGCCGCGTGCGGCAGGCGTCGCTCCCGCTGGCCCGGCACGTGCGGCGCAATCTCGGGCAATCTCGCGTCATCTCGGGCGATCTCGGCTGCCCAGGCGTATGTTCTGCTGGTCAAGCACGTGCGAGGCATGCCGTGGCGGCCGCCGCCTTCGGGGCACAGGCAGGCCGAGAGGTCGGTGGAGGCCTCCGCCGCCCCAGACTGCGCTCTGCCGATGTCTGCGCGCACCGCCGCCGCCGCCGACCCCGCGGCCGGCGTGTCGCTGGAGGATCGGACGCTTCAGACGCGGAAGACGTATCCTTGCGTTCGAGCTAGCGCCCGAGAGGACACGGACTCCGCCGTCTCTCCAACCAACGGTATTAGTGAGTTCACCGGCCCACATCGTCATTTGAATTGATTTGCTGACGTAGGATTGGGCGTCGGCGGCGCCGCTGAGCGTGCGGCTGCTCGAGGAGCTCCTCTCGCGGCAGGAGAGACGAACTAGAGCTTTATTAAATCAAGCTCAGTCTGATTGAATTGGCTTCTCTCCCGGCAGGACACGGGGATTGATTAATTAACTACTCAATCAGCGAAACGAACTCAATGAGCTTCTCTCGCGGCAGTACACGGGGAGTATTTCGTAGTGATCTTGACTAATTGAGCTAACCGGAGTGGTTTCCCTGGCGGCAGGACACGGGGGACGCCGCGCCCCTCCT